CATTTAATTTGTATAAATGCATTATAAAGCGTTTTTATGAAGAACATTTGTTTGGAACACACTGTAAATAAAATCGAACGATATTTCGGCATAAATTGGTAACACTTGACAGTTGCGGTGTTGACACTTTTTGTACTTTATTATTTTGAATTTTAAAGTTTATACCTCTTGTTTTATATTTTTACCGATTTAATAAAATCTGTTCTTTTTAGAACAAAATTAGTGTGTTTTATTTAAAAAATGTCACGTAAGAATTTAAATAGTCGTTGTAAAGAAATGGTAAAACTTTTGCAATAATTATGTGACCTATTTGATTAAAAATGGAGTTAGGATTTTTTTATACTTTGGCAACTTTGTCAACTTCGATATCTGTCAATGATAATGACGTACAACGGTAAGTAAATTAGATGAAGCATATGTAAGTCAAATTAGAATATTATAAAAGCGGATGATTCTAAATCTGAAAGGCTGTTAGAATACAACGTATCGAAAAGACTTAAAGCACGAGTTTATGATCAACGACAATGCACTCAGCAACGAATGATTTTTTTATTCTTTAGATCTTGTCTTTTTCTCCAATCTACAGTGGCAGAACAAAACCCATAAACAATCTGTACAAAACCGAAATCATGATGAGTATAATAATCAGAGAGGAGAGAAGGCTACTTTTCTATCACGAATAAAACTTTTCATTGCTTAGCAGAATGCGCCAATATAGAGACGCGTGGGTACAGCAACCTTCACTCTCCGAACGAAGACGACATGGTTCACGAGAGGAACGATCAGCTATAAAAGAAGTGTTACAGAATATAACGGTTTCAACGAGTAGATTTTGCCTCTTATATTAAGTACTTCAAATACTGTGTTCAATAATCATCTACCTTCTGTATATGCTATATACACAGATCGCCCAAACAAAAACCCTCTCCATAATTGATAATTCTGAGTTTGAACAATGTCATTAAAAATTTCCGACGTTCAAAGGGATGTTAGCATGATTCCCAGAAAAATATTAATAGATCTCTTCCTCTTATATGGATCTAGAGAACAAGCGTCGAGTTTCGAGAAGATGTATGACATTAACAAACATATTGGTTGGAAATAAAAGCATTGGTCAAAACGAACTCATATTATAGTTTATTACAACAATATTTTTGTAATCGTGCGTACTCTGATATTATAACAAATTGTTGAAAAGGGCAACTCATGTAATTACGTCCCTGTACAACTACGACAGCGAGTACATAGAAAAACTGAACTGCAATGAGTTAACATTTACAACAATTCCTCGTTATTAAGACATATTTACAGAAAATACAGTTCATGAAGATTGTTTAAAAACTAAGGAACAAAAAAGTAGTGGAAAAAATTTACATAAATAATTAGCAAAAACGATCATTGCACTCATTAATTTAACTCACTGGTTACAATTTTCCCCATTTTTTTTTATTTATAAAATTCGGTGTTTGTTAATTGGTGTTTCGAATCATAAGACACTTGATCTTAATTTCTAAGTTCTAATTGTAGAAGCCCTCATAAGATTCACAAATGGACAACGGCTGTTAAAAGTCTTTTCGTATATCAATTTCGGGAAGATCGTGAACACGATAAAACAAGTTATAAAAAAATGTAGTTGCTACATTTATGAATAATCTATAGCATGATCTGTTAGATCTCTTGTCGGTATTTTACGAGCCATGATCACGATACTTTGTTTTTCAAGGAAAATACATACCCAAAATTTATGAATGTATAAAGGACCAAAAGGAAGAAATAAAGAAATATTCAAAACTAAGGAAAATAAAAATAAACTCTAAAATAAACTAATTTGCGTTTAATAATTAAAAGGGAACATATAAAAAACAAAGTATCCTGACGTCATAGTGGTCACTTTTCCGATGTTTTTTAAAAAAAATAAGATATAATCTTATACTCTAGTCTAGTGGATGTAAAATATATTGTTTTTTAAACATGGTTTAAATAAACATAAAAACTGGTTATATTAAAAGCACTCGCCAACGAACACTAAAAAGGTCAATAGTCGAAGATCTCCCATTGTTCTTAGTTGCTTCAAAACCACTTATAATACGCAAGAAGTAAGAAATAAAGTAATATAAAAAAATGACCATTCAGGAAAAAGACATTTCAGCTCCTTTTTACTTAGCAAAAACACTCACCATATAGGACATTGCTAAGGGCAGTTATCAGGGCAATGAATCTGTGAACAATACAAAATCGACAAGACACAAGAAAAAACAGACAAAATTAAAGAATATATCCAACACTAAAAGTATTATGAAATAAAAGAAGAAGAAAACAAAATAGACGGTCTGTATCTTGTACAAAATATCTGTATACTTTTTTCTTATAAACCATTAAACTTTTCAAATGTACATTTTGCTATTTTTCTCGGAACTTCTCCTTTTATAATTTTCCCCCACACAACTTTCAATGCTGAATCAGAATCTGACATTACTTTTTCTATGTCTCTTGCACTTTTGGCTACACTAATCCACAATACAAAGTGCGATCAGCAAGTTGGCGACCCCCATTTTCACTTAATATGAGGTCTGGCTAGTAAACAACGAGACTGCGCGCAGGAGGCATCCTAGAGGGGAAGAGTGGGAAGCGAATGCAGCATTGGATAGCTAGAAGTGTCTACTCTTCCAGTACGAAAAAGTTTTCGTTGCCGTAATAGAATTTTTTCTGTAGAGATTAAAAAAGAATGTGTTTTTTTGTCCTGCCGATGACAATGTGTGACGAAAAACATGAGCAACGGATTAATGTAAAATGTATCATTAAATTAAAAAAAAAACTCCGACTGGGTGCTATAATTTGTTGAAAGAGGCCTATAGTGAGAATTCTCTATCTCGTGCGCGTGTTTTCGAATGGTATAAACGGTTTTCTGAAGGCCTAGAGAGCCCGAAGATGACCAACGTCCAGGTCGACCTGCCTCTGTTTCAACTCCGCAAACAGTGACCAAAATAAAAGAAATTGTGCGCGGAGATCGTCGTATGAGCATTCGGATGATTGCTGAGACTGTAAACGCCGATAAAGTAACTGTCAGAAAAATTTTACACGACAAATTGAACATAAAGAAAGTCTGTGCGAAGTTGGTCCCAAATCTGCTCAGATTTTCATGAGAGGTTACATGAAGAATTAATGGAAAACCCCATCACTTGCGATGAAACCTTGATATTCAAATACGATGTTGAAACTAAGCGACAATTCAAGCACTGGAAAACTCCTGCATCGCCAAGAAAGAAAAAAGCAAGGGTGTCGAAATCAAAATTTAAAGCCATGCTAATCGTTTTTTCGAATGGGTTCCAGAGGGTCAAACTGTAAAACAAACTTACTATTTGAAAGTTTTGGCAACGCTGTGAGAGCGAATTCGTAAGAAACGGTCGGAAAAACAGACCGTGGATCTTGCACCAGGACAAAGCACCTGCCCATAACGTGCTGTATGTGAAGCATTATTTAGCCGCTAGAGGCATTCTAGTGCTCGAACACCCGCCGTACTCGCCTGACTTAGCACCCTGTGACTGTTTCCTATTTCCGAAGATCAAGTCTGCCTTAAAAGAAATCCGGTTCGAGTCGATGGAAGAGGTAAACGCGAAAAACGGCATAGCTCCAAAAAGCTCTAACAAAAGAATATCTCCAACATTGCTTTGACCAATGGAAAAAACGAATGGAACGGTGTGTGGCGAAGGAAGGGGAATATATTGAAAGAGGGCATTAGATTTTAGAATAATGTTTAAAATAAAACTCTTTTTCATAAGTCAGACCTCGTATACTTTCACAGAGTGTCCATGATACGGACGAGGAAATTTACTCCTGCTTTATAGACTATCGTAAAGCTTGATTGCATCCAAGACTAGAAACTAGTAAAAATATTCAACGGGTATCGATGAGGGTCATCATTACAGAACTGTTTTGGTATCAGATAGCTTAAGTAAGGATGGAGAGCAACATGTCGGAGAAGATAGCTATAAGAAAAGGCGTACGACAAGGATGTATATTTTCCTCACTTTTCTTTAATCTGTACTCGGAAAATATCTTTGCAGATACTCTTAAAGGTAATAGCGCAGAAATCATAATCAACGTCGGAACAATTCATTATATAAGTTATGCCGATGATGTAGTCAATCTTGTTACCAACCTGCCGGAACTACAAGAACTTGTAGAATGTAGCGAACGTTATGACCTATATATGAATCACCAAAACGAAACTTATGTTTTTCCCCAAATTAAAAACACAAGCTGTACTCAGAATGCATAACAGAATCGTTGAACATCTATCAGATATCACATTGTCATCCATCTAATATCTGGTTGCACTAATGAAGAGTAGTTAGGATTCGACGAAAGAAACCCTATCAAGAACTGAATTAGGCTAGGAAACCGTCTGTCAAGACAAACCATTTCTAGAGGAAAAAATAATGCAAATTCTCTGTTTCGATTATTGGTAGCTTGTCCACAAGATGATACTAAAAACAATGACAAGAAATTATCAGCTAACAATTTCATAAATCGTTTGAATGAGGCCGGCAATCTAGACAAAACCATCCAAAGTATAAAACGATTGAGTCACAATATGCTGGCCCTAGACGAGGTGCAAAGAAAAATCTGGACCCTTTTATATAACCCATTATTCCAGTGACTATACCCTATTCTGTATAAAATTAAAAAAAAAATACTAATTCTCTTCGGAAAAGTGCCACTACTGATAATTTGAATAGCTTAACTACTGTATACTTCAAATCAATTAACTACTTATATTATTCAGATATACTAACATCTGAACACTGTGGTAACTAGTGAAAATTACGTTATTTAAGGAGAGTCCTATACTGAACAATGTAAGCAACGTATTTTTATAAACATTACGTCATTATAACTTAACAGATTATCAATCATTTAGAATAAATAAAACAATTTTGTACTATAACATACACTATTATACATGAAGAAATTTAAAAATTCGTATATAAACGGTTAATAAAAATTATACATATATACATCAAACAGTTTGTGATTGTTTTATTTAATAAATACGATAAAAAAACCACTCTTCACCTAAAACTTTCCGAAAACAAGTTTTTCATAAAATTACTATGATAATACTTAAGATGAGCTCTCGTCCGTCAGAGCTCGGTTAACAATAACGAAAGTACAAGCTGAATATAGCCGCAAGTGTCAACCATGGAACAAAATATTTCGGTTTGGCAGTGTTGGCATGTTTTTATATTGTATACGTTAAATGCTTCAAACATAAAGAGAGAAAGTTTTTAAAAAGTACATTTTGATTGTATTATTTTATGAATTCTGCAATTTTTAATTTATACAAAACAGTAACGAGTAAATATTTGATTCTTTTGAGATTAATTGCAGTTAATTATTAGATTTTTTTTTTTTTGGTAATTGCCATTTGCTAGATTTGCGGATATGTTTGGCAATCTTCAAACCACAAGTTGTCAGATTGCAACAGATTTTTGCAATTAATCTAGAAAGAGAGAAATATTTACTCGTTATTGTCTACCTATTAAAAATTGCATAATTTATAAAATAATATAATTAAAATGTACTTTTTGAAAGCTTTCCCCCTTTATATTTGAAGCATATAACAGATAAATTATAAAAAGCTGCCAACACTGACAATCCGAAATATTTTGTTCCATGGTTGACATGCGGCTACATTCAAGTTGTACTTTCGTTAATGCTAACCCAGAGCTTTTCTTTGAACTGTACTGGTTATAGCACAGATTCTGCACCTACATTTTAAAAAAATATTGCTGATCTGTTTACTTTTATGAGAATTTCACACATTGTTATACCTATACAAACTAGATGTCATATTTAGTATAATGTTGGCCCGAGAAGTACTAGTGTTTTGTGTTGTCGATATTATGTTTAAGATAGACACAAAAAACAAATTATGTCATTTAAAACTTTACCACAGCTTAATGTTAAAAAAATTAGTTAGTTCACTCCCGCATTTTGACGTTTCCAAAATTGCATCGACTCCTTTAAAACAAATTGAAGTGAATGCGCAATAGACTAGCAGAAGAATGCACGATGTTGCCAAAGTTACAATATTTCATCAGTTTCAAAGAATATTCCAATATTATAATAAAATAATGCCTGTGAATGTATTTTGCGAATATTTTTAAGATATAAAAGTTTAACAAGATCTTGGAAAAATTACAGTAGATTATCTAATAGTGGTTTCTGCGAGAGTAAGGAATTATTATACAATTAAATTTTTAAACCAAGGAATCAGATTCTTGACTAAGGAAAACAAAGTAATATGTATCTAAAAATTGAGTTTTGAACATCAAAACATTTCATCTAAGTTCAAAGAAAGAAAAAAAATCAGTTTGTAATAACAGTTAGGTGATCAAGAAATTATTTTTATCAAAAAATCTTTAAAATAAGTTATATATAAGTTATCGAATTAGACCTGAATTTTTAAATCACTATAAAAATAATTTAAAATTGTTGGCTGAACCTTGTTTTTTTCAAACAATAAAGGAAAGTTATAAGTGAAAAGTAACTTTCAAAATAGCATAACATATAAACGATAGCAATGAAATTACTGCCTCTTCACGTTTTTGAAGAACCATTCGGTGAATTTCCTGAGTTGCTGAACAGCTGCATGAGCTTGATCTTGCAATTTCCGATTTTCTTCCTTGAGCCTGCGAACCTCGTTTTCTAAAGACAATCGACGTCTGGTTTCAATATTAACTTTGGACTCCAGTTCGGCAACGTGACTTTGCAATTCAGGAACACTCGTACTCGAACTGACCCTAAAATACGGTACACAAGAGTGAAATATTTCGGAAATTTTAATTTTTATATTTATAACAATTGAGCCGTTTGTTGTTCAAAATATATTGAGGATAACATAGATTCGGCTATATTTTAATATGTGTATGGCAATTAATACCGCAAAATTAAAAAAAAAAAGGTAACAGTAGGCGGTAATGTAGAATAGCGCGAAGCTTCATACTATGTTTTCTGTATTTTCAAAATTGAAATAATATATTTAAAATTGAATAAAGTAATTTTATTATATTTATTTATTTTCTATATATTAAAAAACCTTGACTGAATGATTGTTAGTCTCGAACGATAGAAATAGTAGGTTTATCTTTTTAGTTTTTTACATATAGCCGCTTAGAGGGCGCCACCAATAATTCCTTCCGACTCAAATGTAACCACAATCTTTTGTTGACATAAGTCAAGAGTTTCGGTTGGTTAAGTCGGTCGAAAAATGGATCTTAACCAGAACATTTTCAAGTAATAATTTTTTACAATTTTCGGAGAGGATTACCCCAACAGCAATGTCTCGCTGAAATGGTTTCATTGTTTGGGAATGAAGCACCACAGCAGTCAACTATTTCCCGTTAGAATTGTGAATTTCAACGTGGTCGCTCCAGTCTCAGCAACGAATCCAGGCCAGGTCTACCCAAAACAGCAGTCACGCAACAAAACATTGGTGCGGTTCGTTAGCTAATTAAGGATGACCGCCGTGTAACAAACCGGGAAATAGAGACATCCTTGGGCATTTCAAAGATCTTGATCCAAAAGATCCTACATGAAGAACTGGGTGTTGCGAAGTTGGTGTCCTGTTGGATCCCTCATGTGCTCACAGAAAAGCAAAAAGCGGTTCTCGTCAATTGGTATCGAAAAATTGGTGTCGAAAAAGCTTGGAACAAAGGAAGCCCAAAAAAACTTTATAATATTGTTAGTAGTGATGAATGTTCGATTTACTCCTACGAACCGGAAAATAAACGTCAATCCGCTGTGTTGGTGTTTCATGATGAGGAAAAACACAACAAAAGTAATCCGTAGTAAAAGTGTGTCAAAGAAAATGGTCGCAACTATTGTGTCAAAATCTAGTCATGTGGCAAGATCGAAGAACGGTTATTTCTGATTGGTATATAACCGTTTCTTTACCAAAAGTTATCGCGAAACTCCGATAAAGCAACACTGCGCAAAAGACACTCGAGTTTTTGGAGTTTTAAAACATCGAAATTGCTAAACTATCCACCATTTAGCCCCTACCAAAGTCCCAAAAACTTCTTCACGTTCAAAAAGATCAAGAATTCAATGCGTGGGCAGCGATTTCAGTCGCCAGAAGGAGCCATCAATACCTATAAAACAGCGATTTTGCAGGTGTCAATTGAAGACTGGAATAACGTTTTACCAACTGGTTTGAACATATGCAAAAGTGTATCCATCTTAGTGGGACATATTTTGAAAAGCAATAAAGTATTTTAATATATTTATGATTTATATATTCCATATATTTTTTGTCTTTATGACTATATACAAAACTAAAAAGACAATCCTCGTAGAGACGATTTGTCGGCCGTGATGTATTTGTGTTGTTTGTCTGTGAACATAAAATCCAAAACTGCCAAAATATTCAGAAAGAATAAAAAACTCTATCTTTTATTTCACTTTTCTTTTTATAGAACAAATTATTTTCTTACTTGACTTTGCAACTGACTCACAGTCATTACGAGGCAGTTATCTATAGAGCCCTCAATGCAAAAACTGGAAAAGTGAACAATAGCAACATACCATTATTGATAAACACAGTATTCATGAAGCATCCAACGACACTGGGATTAGGTTGAGAAATCTTGCTACTTAGCTTAACATGATCATTGTTAGTATATGTTTACAGTGCAATTGGACTAAAGATCTCCAGATCAGACACCGATCAAAGACACTAATCCGACAAATAACGTGCATACTAGGAGAGGAATCAATGTAGACCAGGACCATTAAGGATTTTGTGAAAAGTAGAGTAAAAGTAGATCTCGTCATTGTCTTCGAATGTATCCAAACACTAAAAGAGGTTAGGATACCAATGCAACTGACTACGATTAACAAGGAAACACTTAAAGAGCAGAGCAAAATCAGAATGCAAATTAAATTAACAGATACAATCTCTACTAAGGGAGGACTGGAGGAGGATCCTGTATCTTATTTAACATCACTCTACAAAAAATCTAATATGTTGAGGGTCTCATATATACACCACAGAAGTAACATAACTATTCTCCAGAGGCAAAAAAAAACAAAGAAATTATTAACACCGTAAAGAACAGAAAATTGGCTTACTTCGGCCACATCATGCGTAATAATAAATACCGACTTCTACAGTTGATTCTACAAGGCAAGATTGAGGGTAAGAGAGGCCCTGAACGTAGACGTATATACTGGCTGGCCAATCTTAGGGAATGGACTGGTCTAACGATAACTGATCTATTTCGAGCTGCTGTGAATAGAATAAGATGGGTCAATGCGGTCGCCAACATCTCTAGAAGATAGAGACACATTTAGAAGAAGAAACAATCATAAGAGAATCAACAGTCTCTCCACAGAAACCCCTCACTAGTGATTGGAATATTGGAATACTAATTGGAAGATAGATGGAAGATGTTGAATGTAGAGTACGAATCCAGGGGGAACTATCTTAAACCTTTTAAAACAAATAACGGGCTGCACCACAGAGACTCTCTGTCATGTATACTGTTAAATCTAGTTCTGGAAAAAGTAATACGTATGTCATAAATCACAACCACAGGTTCAATATATAAGACATCAGTACAAATCCTTGCCTATATTTATGATATCAACATTATTGGAGAAAACGCTGTATGACAGCAAAAGATATTTACTATTCATACGATAGCAAAGTCGCAGTCCCGGTTTACCGGGAAGTAGTCAAGATGTGAGTGAAGAAAGTGAAGTTTAAAGCTCATGTTTCAGCCCAACTTCTTAAAGTTTTCAATAATGTCTGCGAGAATTGTCTTGTAGTTCTTATCTCTTTTGTTACCTAGGGAACCGGTAACAACTAATTTAAAAGATGTCCATGCTGCCTTTTATTTGTTTCCATTGCGTCCACAAAGTTGGGATCTATCATTAGTTTTCTAATGTCCAGTCCGACAAAGATTCCTTCCTTTAGCTTTGCCGTGGATAAACCAGAAAACTGTCCACAAAGATATCTGACACACTTACCTTCTTTACTCAATGCCTTGACCAATTGTTTCATCAGCCCCAACTGTAGTGAAATGGTGGAAGTAACACCTTTTTGTAATCCACAAAACTTTTCCTCTCAACATTTTTAACCCCTACTTGTAAGCTTTCTCTCAAGGGCCAAGCTTTTTTATGTGGTGTTGCGTTATGTCTCTAGTGTCCCATCCACAGAGAAAGCTAGGAACTTTGTATAACCACTGTGTTGACGAAACAGCATTAAAATCACTATTAAGTCACCACATAGTGTCCATTTGTGGTCTGAATAGCAGAGTTTGCTTAAAACCAGTTTAAGGTTTTTGTAACATTCTTTCAAGTGAACCGAGTGTCCAACTAGTATAGAAGCATACTTATTGCCATTGTGTAGAAGTATTGCTTTAATGTTTCTTTTTGAAGAATCAATAAAAACTCTCCAGTCATTAGGAGCATATTCTAGTTTGAAATGTGCCAAGTCCAGAAACATCACTGCAAAACAGCAGGTCATCTTCTTTGTAGGAGAAAGATACAAATTGCTTTTCCCTACATTGGTACCAAGAAAAGGGTGTATCCGGAGCCAACATACCTTTATTTTTCAATCTAGATCCTAAAACTTCTGCCGATTCTTTAGAAAGGCCTATGTCTCTTACTAAATCATTCAGTTCCAATTGTAGGAATGGAATGGGATCAGTTGTGCCAGGATCGTAGAAATCACTGTGTTCTCCACTATCACCTTGCTGATCCAATGGCTCGTGATCATCACGTATATCATCCAAAGAATCTGGAGAAGAGGATATTGGAACTTCAGGTCTATGAGGGGAAGGGCGACTAGCTGATTGAATATTAGGGTAAGAAATATCCTTTTTGTGTCTCAAATTGAAACCTCATACGTTGCAAGAACAAAAATAGCAGCCATCACTATGATTTTTGTTCTCCCTCCAAACCATTGGTATTCCAAAAGGTAAGGACTGCTTTTTATCTTGAAACTATGCTTCGGTTCTTTAACACATACTGAACAAACTTTGTGTGGGACTCAGGCCTATCTTGATCGCCTAACTTTATATCAAAATAAGAGAAATATACTTTTTCAATAAAGACTTCACAACACAAGAAAACAGTCAGTACTTTAAAGCACTAGTAACAACAACACGTGAACTGCAACGATCTCTAAACTGTAGGACAGTATCAGAAGCTTCGTTTAATTTAAATTCAAAGACAGAACATTCCCTTGAGTTAATTTTTACATTACCCAAAATAGTACCCAACTACTGGTCCTCCTTTTTGCCCATCCAGGTTTATTAGATGTGACAATATAAACAATATCTACTTCTAAAGTTATACATATATCATAAAGCCTTCCTCGTATGTTGCCGATATCTAAAAATAAAATGAGGAGCAGACAAATTCGTAGTTTAAAAAAACTTATAAAATAATAAAAAAATATTAAAACTTATATACTAAAATGTATCATGTTAAGTGCCATCCCCTTTGTAATTTGTGTATTGTTTAATAAATTACATAGCATACTTACGTAGAAGCAATAGAAGCATCGATGACGCCATCATCACTCCAGCATCGTGTTCCTTCCATATCTTTACCACCTTCATGGTTGGATCCAACTTGATTTATAAAGCTTGTGGCTGTGTCAACCAAACTTGGCCAGTCTCCATCTTCCGGCAATGGAAAATCATCTGGGAAACTCACAGTCGTCTTCAGTTTACTCAAAGGCACGTGAGAAGCACCAAGATCATCTTGAGTCCTCTTATATTCGTCCTGAGTTCGTTTGAACTCTATGGGTAGAGGACTGGAGGTAGTACTAGCATTAGAAATAACAGTAGCAGGTCGAGCCATTGTCAATATCACTTCTGGTTGGGTCTTATGTACACTTAGTGTAGTATTAAGATTTTCCCTGGAGTGATTTTTAGACTCTTTCGCTACTTTTTGGTCAGAAGTAGCTTCTATAGTATCAGGGTTAATTAGACGTAGAAGCTCTTCTTGGAAGTTTGTGGATAAATTGGCACTATTGCGATTTGAACTACGAGAAGTAACACCCGGTCTTAGTTTCGCCTCCCCATTCATAGATCTAGGACTTTGGTTTCGATTACTGTAATTCTGTGTTATATTCGAATGTTTTATAGCTCTCCTAGTCCTAGGAGACGCATTTCCCGTACCAACGGACAACTCCTCTTCGCTACCTATTAAATTAATTCTCTCGCTAATAGAACTGTCTGTAGAATGACTCTCATTTAGCGCTACCCTATTGAAGTCATTATTCAGACTTTGCACTGTAGCATAGTCAGACCTACTAGAACCCCTAGTACTCATGTAATCACTTTCTTGACGCAAGCGTTCATTATGCTGTTTAATAAGATTATTTTTCTCGCTCTTATAGACATCCATCTCATTGGTACTACTATGTATTGAAGCTGTCAATGGTTGTGACATATTGATGTGTTGCAAAGGAACGGAATTGCTTATATGTACCTTATTGTGCTGAATAGAAAATTGATTATTTTGGGGTACTTGCAAATATGAGTTTTGATGAGAGTTGTTTCGTTTTGGTGTACTAGGAAAAGTGTTGTTGGCATGGTGAATGCGAGACACATGCTGGCTCACTTTCAGGGGTACAGGGGGCGCCTCGAATTCGTGCAGAAAGTCGTACCATTTGTCGTCAGAATGGCCACTGGAAGAACTTGTTAAAGTACCCTAAAAATTAAACAAATTTTAAATATTGTTAGCTTTGTGATACAATCACTACATATCTTTTCATAGCCTAGACCTAGAAGTAATTAATAACTACATTTACTATGCTACGAAGAAAAACTTTAAAGCATCTGAAAATAGAGAGAATATTGAGAATAACTTTTTTTTTATTTAAAGTAGCAGTTGGAATTCTATACAGTTTTGCATAGACTTCATATAATGATGGCAAATAAAACTTAATAATTTCGAATTTCGCACTACAACTAACCGAGAAATCACTCAGTTTGAATTTTATAAGTATAGCAACAGGCAAACCTTGTTGAATGCTGTAAACAACGAATGCACTGAAAAGAGCTTAACAATTAACGCAAAAAAAAAACAAAATGGACGGTGATCAGAAAAATTAATATCGAAGAATTATGCAATAGAAATCTGTCGTTGACCACACTATCACACTATTCGAGACAGAAAATTATGGCAATATTGTGTAATTTGTAATGTCTCGGGTCATTTCTTTTAACTCACGCTTAGGTCTTTTGCATATTCCTGTAATTTGATCAATCCATTTTGTTCGGAATCTTCCTGGTGATCTTTGGCATTTTACCTTTTATTGGATAAGTCTTTGCTATCATTGCATGTCATAGAACGGACCTAGAGAATTATAGACCTATTAGCCTGTTGAACCACACATACAAACTCTTCACTAGGTTAGTGACATCAAGATTGGAGAAAAAATTAGATTTCTACCCACCAGATTAAATTATGGTACCAATGATCACCTCCATACTGTAAAAACGCTGATTGAAAAATCTATAAAATACAACAAACCTCTTGTCCTCACTTTCATAGATTTTCATGAAGCGTGCGACACGATTGAAATAGACAGCCTTATAGAAGCAATGAATGACCGCAGGATTCACCATACATATAGTGAATTTATTTACAATATTTACAAAAATGCCACTATGACTGATACACGATAAAAACCGACCAATAAAAATAAAACGTGGAATAAGACAAGGAGATAAATTGACACTAAAATTATTCATAACGGCATTCAAGTATGCCTTTAAGATGGTCAACTGGGACCACAGAGAAAAAACAATAGACGAGGAAAAACTTAACCATCTCTGTTTCGCAGATGACATTGTCATTATCACAGATAATTTAGGAGAAGCCACAGATATGTTACACGAATTGGATGTTCGAAGGTGGGCCTCAGAATGAACTTGTCCAAAACTAAGTTTATGGCAAATATGGTCCCCAATAACCATTTAACTATTCAAAACAAAGTGGTAGAACTGGTGGAGAAATATACATATTTGGGTCATGAAATAGGAATCAGCAGGGATAGCCAAACATGCGAAATCCAAAGCCGAATTACTTTAGCGTGGGCAGCCTTTGGAAAACTGCGAGACACACTTAGGGCCAACATACCAATTAGCCTCAAAAGAGTATTTGACCAATGCGTATTACCGGTCATGACCTATGGGGCGGAAACTATGATTCTAACCAAGACTACGGCTTCGAAACTGAGAGTGGCACAGAGACGAATGGAAGGGTCTAGCTGGGAGTGACGTTGCAGGACCGAATAACCAACGAAAATCTGCGAAGAAGGACGAGCATTGTTGATGTTGTGGAACGCAATGCGGAACTAAAGTGGAATTGGGCAGGTAATGTAGCGAGAATGCATGTCTCACGATGGACGAATAAATCAGGCATCAGGCGTATCACGAAAAATTGGCAACAAAGAGCACAAAATCGCAAAGAATGAAGGGGTTTAAGGGACGCCTATGTCAAGCAGTAGACGTGATAAATAAAGGCTGGATGATGATGCTGATGATGATAATAATGATGATGGACACATCTGCCTTTAGTTTTGTCTATATTATACTCTTATGGTTGTTCTATTTCTTACTTGAATCTGCGAAGAAATTGCTTGTATAGAAGAAGAACCATAGTGTATTCCTGAAGCGTCGTCATATTCTTCAGGAATACACTATGGTTCTCACACTCATCAACAGGGCGAGTTGCATTGAATTTGATGTTTGAATTTATACCAGCAACATTTAGCAACTGGTACAAAACTAATAAAGGTGTAATTCTCGTACATTTCGTCGACTGTATTGGCCCATCCTTAAATGGAGTTATAAAATAAAATAGAACTATGTCTGGTAGGTACTTTCGGCTATTTTCAATTGATAACTATGTTTTCACTGATGATGGTTTGATAAGTCCGAAATCGTTTTGATGAAATTGTAATCCGTTCGGAAAATTCGATTCTTTATTAAACTCTAAATATATACCATTTTACACTAGAAGTTTTTCACTTCACTGTAAGTTGATTTGTTTTTATTTGGACTATAAAGCTGGATTTATAGTTTGACGGACTGTAGACGTAAACGCGCTGGAGACGTAACAAACGGACTGTAAATATTATTTCAATTTATAAATCGACGGAGTGTAATTTTTGCGCATGAGCAGAAACAGTGGCGAGAGTTGGTGATCATGATACTATAACATCATTTTACTATTTATTATTATTATTTTGTTTAAATGTTTAAATTACCAAATCGCCGGCTCTACACGTGGAAAGCTCCTGGAGACAGCAAAGATAGAATCATAAGAAATCAGATAGATTACATCTTGATAAGGAACAGGTACAAGAACTCTATTACAGTAGTGAAGACTTACCCTGGAGCAGATGTAAACTCGGACCACAACCCAGTAGTAGCAAATATGAATGTAAGATTGAGAAAACCATTAATGAAAAGATCTAGACCACAAATATGCATTGATAAGTTAAGAGAACCAAATACATACCAAGAAACTCAAAACAAAATAAATCAGAGTATCCAAGAAATAAAACAACAAAATAAGAACACAAAGCACGTGGTGTTCGTGTGTATTAAGGTATAAAAACGCTTATTAAAAGCTTAAAATTTTTTATTATAAAGAAGATCTTTTCGGAATTGTATCATTACAGACAATAATCACAGACATAATCATAGAAAAACTTTCAACTTCTTTACAACAAAAAAATGTCATTAGAAATAATTGTTTCAAAAAACTTCATGCTGCATACAAAAACTTAACTTCCAATTCACATTTTCATCATCCAAATCACAATAGTTTAAAAATTCTAAATTCAATAAAAAGGAAAATAAAAAACCACAATTTAATAATATCTAAATCTGACAAAGGTAATTGCTTAGTAATTCTGGATCACACTGAATACACCAACAAAGTTTCCACTTTTTTGAATAACAATGGCTTCATAGTACTTCCACATGACCCACTGAACAGATTCATTAACAAACAAAAAGCCTTTTTAAAGAAATATTCTACTTTTTTCACAGATTTTCATGCACCATATTACAAAATCCCTAGTAATCCATTAATTCCTAGATTGTATGGTCTTCCAAAAATCCACAAAGAGGGCATTCCAATCCGTCCAGTAGTCAGTTTCATCAACACCCCGGTTTCCATAATTTCTAAATTCATACTTAGAGTAATCAAGGACATAACAGGTTTTTCTCCCACTTTTTCCATCAAAAATTCATCCGAACTAATATCTAAACTCAATCATATAAATCTCCTTCCAGATATGACTATGCTTTCATTTGACGTTAGCAATCTCTTTACCTCTGTTCCTAAACTTGAAACTATTCAGTTAGTCCACAACCTTCTTACATCTAAATCAATTAATCCTTCAGTCATCACACCAATAATAGATACACTTTCCTTGTGTTTATCACAAGATTACTTTTCTTTCAATAACATTTTTTATAAACAACCTGATGGCTTAGCCATGGGAAGTTGTCTTTCCCCCTTCTTAGCTGACCTCTTCATGAATCATCTAGAATCCACTCAAATCATGACTAACAATACAATTCTACACTGGTTCCGTTACGTTGATGATTGCTTAGTGTTCATTAGAGGTAACTCAAATACTGCTTCTTCCTTACTTAATACTATCAATAATATTCACCCCAATATTAAATTCACTATGGAATTAGAATCAAACTTCTCCATCAATTTCTTAGACCTGTCCATCAATAGAACCAATAATGTCTTTGATTATAGCATCTACAGAAAACCTACACAAACAGATCATGTCATACATTTCAATTCTAACCATCCCATTTCACATAAATTATCTGCATTCAACAGTTTTATTCATCGTTTAGAAACCATCCCATTATCCAAAATTAACTACAACCAAGAACTAAACATTATCAAACAGATTGCTTTCAACAATGGCTACAACCCTGATATAATCCACAAACTCATTTATAAAAAGAAACGTAAATTACTTCAACAATCAGCATACCCTAACATTACATTAGATTCCCCATCTTATTTCTCATTACCATTTCACTGTCCAACACTCTCTGAATCAATAAAAAACACTATCCTGAATTCTGTTGAAAATATTAAGATTTCCTTTAAAGTCAACAATAAATTGAGTAGATCATTATGCAATAGTAAGGACCCTATTGACTTCACTAAACGCAGTGGAGTTTATAAACTTCAGTGTTCTGACTGTGATGCCACTTACATCGGTAGAACTTGTAGATCTTTAGTAACCAGGGCCATTGAACATTCTAAGTTAGAGAACACTTCTTCTTTTTCACATCACCTTAAATATCACAACCACACAATCAAGGTACCAGATGATATCTCTCTTCTTCATAACATCCCTGGTAGAGATTATCTCAAACTCGACCTTTTTGAGGATTTGGAAATAGTCAAGGAAAAGAAAAATAGTCCCAATTGTGTTAATCGTCACACCAGCATCAACAGAGACTTCGTCCCACTTCATCGACAATTATTCTCCTAAACTAACTTTCTCTCTTTTAACTACCCATCCAATTTTACTTCACTTCTACATTTCTTTTTATCTCCCATAGCTAAATTTCAACTTACATAATCATTCATACTTAACTCTATACTTGTCACCATTAATACACTAACATCACCCCTTTGCCAATATCCAACCA